GTTGTTGTTGTTGTTGTTGTTGTGATGGTGGTGGTAGTGAAGGTGCAATATTATCAAACTATATATATATATATAGAACAAAGCATTTGAAAACGAGACCCAACGAAACCCAATGCCAATAGCAATATCAGCCATATAACAGAAATAAGAAAGTTTTGTGAATTGTGAATATTGAAGATAAAGAACGAGAAAAAGAGACGAGGAAGAAGAATAAGAAGAAGAAAGTAGAAGAGATACAATAATAAAAAGTTAGTAGTTGTTGCGTGTTCATATTAAAAATAAAATATTCTAAAAAAAAATTATAAAGAAAAATATACAATTTACGCATCAAAGCGCATTTTAAATACTCGTCACCTCACACAAGACACATAATAAATAAACATTGCAAATATTTTGCTGTTACAAGTCTTCGTCCAATTTCTAAAGTCAAAAGAACTTTTTCAAAAGCGACATATTCTAGTGACGCCATCCGGCTATTGATGGCTGCCTAAACTGCCCGAAAAGGTGCATCCTTCACTACAGCCCTCTACATTGCTATACCAATTATCGAAGTCGGCACGTCCGTTGTATGCAACGGTGCGTCCATTGTACAGTTCTATATGACATAAAGCGCATTAGTGTATCTAGAGCGTCTGTTTTTCCATCCTTCTTCATAAGATGGATATTTTAGATTTAAACAGGGCCATAAATTGATTTTAAAAATCCAAATTTTTCTTCAAGTATCATTTTAAAATTAAAAGTAGATTTTTTATTCAAAACAAAATTGTTTACATCTAACTAATCTAATATTACAGACATTCGAAATTTTATATTCTTCATGTGAACTTCGTATACATCCATACGTTGGGCAATAACTGTCTCCTCTTGTTAGGGAACTCATATGTAACAAAAGCCCATTGGCTGCCCGATTAAAAATTGATATATATTTTCCTCTATTGTTGAAGCAAACTTTTTCCTGCCACCATCAATACGCATCAATATGAAGAGATTTTAAAATATGTTATTTTTAATCGTAAATATGCCGACTTGGCGATCGATAACATATTCCTTTTAGATGCAATTAACACATATTCTCTAGTTTACATGAATATCTCTTACAAGTTACAAATTTTTGTGCTTATTATAAATATTTTTTTTTTATTTTGCAGGACCTAAGGATTTCTTGAAAACGGAAAAAGATTTGCATTAAAAGCAGGTATGTGTTCAAGTTTCATTTTAATTCATTTCTTTAATACGGGAGCATTACAAAAATGACAGAGAGACGGACGTTTGAATAGGTGCAATCAGTTCAAATGCCTACTGCAAAAGAGTTAGGACCTCCCCAAATCATGTATTCAAGAAGAAAAGATAAATCTGATATGTCTTCCGTTCTTAAGGCATAGAAGAAATATTCGATTTTTTTAACACTTAAATTTCCCGTGTAAAAGCGACTAAAGTAAAATTGTTCTGGGCATTGAATTCGAAATGTCAGGTAAATCAACGAGAAGATAAACAGATATTCGGAGAAGACCAAAAACAAAACCATTCATCTTCCGTGAGAAGCCAATGTTTTTCTCCTCACAATTTGTTTTCATAGTTGAGTTTTCTTTACTACGGTATTTTCAGATCGCTCAACATCTTAGGCGATGAGTAAACTAAGGACTCTCAGATCAAGTAGCGTCAGCTCGAATAATAACCAGATGTTGTTAGATTTAATCAATCGAGGAACGGTATTAATTGTTTTCGTGTCAATTCCAATCGCATTTCTTAATCTGATTACGTTTGTCTGGCTCGTTCGAAACTAAGATACATTGAAACAAGTTGCTGCATGAAAATGCGTTTTCGGAACGCACATCAACATCATCGTCAGTAGTCGCAGCAAAGATTTCCATCCTAATTATTTTATAACACAGTGATGAACTGCAGATTTCTAGGGAGAATACATCAACGGTTTTGAATTAAAGTTTCTTAATAATATTTACTACTGTAAGAAGTACAGGTTGTTTTTAGCGCAATTGAAGGAACCAGATTTCCATATCTAAAATGTGATAAATGCGTTTTTATGGCACTGACATGACTGGCAATATAATATTTCTTTTAATAAAATTCATTTAAACGCTACGTGAATCTTTTTTTTTTTTTGGTCCCTTTCGCAATGATTAAATTTTAACTGCCACAGTAATCTTATGTGTTATGAAAAACACTGATAAGAATAAATCATGTTAACTTAGTGCATCGAGTATGTCGGGCTGTCTAATAAGGCAGATTTGTTCAGAAAATATATGTTAGCCTCTACATAGTTTGTAATCACAATTTTATTCGCTTCCAAAATCAAGAGCTAAAATATGTTTTTTCCAAGTAAATTTCTTTTAGTGCTGGATTTATAAAAGAAAAAGTATTGAAAATATAAAACAATCGTGTTGTTGTAAATGTAATTCAACTTTAAGGCAACAAACACACAACAATCATTTTGTATTGCAAACAAAATGTACCCGGTGTGTGTTTGGGCGTTTTACATAAAGCAAATGATAGCCAGAAAGAAGAAAATCGTAATATTTATCCGGTTTTTCTTTTCTTTTCCTTTTTGTTCATTTTTTTTTTTTTTTTTTTTTTTTCTTTTAATATTCATAAAAAAGAAATAATGGTGCAAATAGTGGTGCATGAAAATTAAACGACTTATTAAGAATCACTGGAGGCTTTAGTTAGTTAGACTTACCGGAAACATGTCATAAGAATTAGCTGTTGATGTGCCTGGCGATATGGAAGATTGTGTTGAGCTGGGTGTTAGTGGCATGTAGGCGGTTGCTGCAGCAGCTGCTGCTGCTGCTATAGCGGCACTGGTAGTCATTGTGTTGGCGTTGTGGGCCAACGAATCGGCAGCCATTGTTGCAGTGGCAGACAAGCTGGCATTACAGCTACTGTTGTTGCCATTGCCACCATTAGCGTTGATTCCGCCGCCACCTATCGCCAATATATTGTTACTTAAGCTAAGGCCGCTGTGGGCACTATTACAGCCATTGGTATGAGTTTGACTGTTGTTGCCGCTGTTGTTGTTGGGGCCGGTGTTCAGGCCAAGAAAATCAACCGTCATTGCTAAGGAATCTGCAAAGCAATAAAAGAAAATCCATACAATTATGGTTTTATCTTAATAGACGACAGCAGCATCAACAACAATAGCAACAAGAATAACAATAATATGTACAAATAGAAAATCCATATATAACAAACAACTAATAATTTCTTATAAATAAACATAAAAATTTTCCATATGGACGACTGACACAAGTAAAATGACAATAAATGGAAATGGAAAAATGTTTGCGTGCAATTTTTCTCTCTGGTGTATAAGCTCTGCACTCTGTGTTCTGATTCAAGCGCAAAACATTTAAATTGTCACCATAAATATTCTGACAATGGAATAAGATGCAAGAGTTATAATAATAATAATAGAAATTATTGTGCAACTGTACTATATATGATTACATGCGTATATATACATACATGTGTGCACATATGCCTAAAAGGCTTAATATCGACATATATACTTAAAAACCATTTGCGAAAAATGAATATAAAAACGTGCCAGGGAGACAATAGTTACGTCCAAAGTTTAAACCGCTTTTGCTGACATAAGTCATCTCCTACAAATTCTTCTATTGAAACTGATCTTTGAAGCTGGACCTATTTGTTAAGTCGCGATTATGTGCGAAACTCCAACTTCTTTGATATGAAGAAACGCCGAATTATATTAAAAACCCGAGAGAAATATGTTCGATTTAAAACGAACCTCTACTATAAAATACGTAGAAAAAAGGAATTATTTTCGTTTTAAAACAAATACCACCGCCATCAGCTTTTATATAAAACATCTGTCAAACTTTTGTATAATTATCGTATACGGTATCCGTTATTACACATTCCAAATTGAGTTTTCGCACACCAGCTCAGCAGGTTTTTATGCGATAATGGTACAAAAACAATTTATAATTACAAATTTATAGGAATTTACAATAGATCGCGACGACTTTCAGTAATCGGTATGTCTCATTTTGTTTTTGAAGGTAGAATATAATCTTCCCCCATTTACAACCCTGTTCTTATTGTATATGATGTTCTTTACAACTCTGTTATTGTTCCCCTATTTTGCACAGCAAGTGTATCGAATGGCTACCCTGGCAATACAGTATGCTAGGCGAAGTCAAGACTTAAGAAAGGAGCTCGATTGAATTATCGCAAAGCACAATTCGGAAAAAAGCTGGGGAGCTTTTAAAAAATTTTATTAAGAAAATTTTACTAACTTTAGCATCGAATTATGATCTTGGATGCTTTGATTAAGCTGTATTCTAGGGAAAAAAAGGCAAATGCGCGAAGCGAATATAGCGAGAAAAAATGGACGCCATATCTAAAAAAGAAAATGGCGTATATTAAAGCAGAATCTACCGAAGCGGTCTTTTTGCCGCAGCTGTGCAAAGTGATCGTAAATTACTATTCCATTTTGCAATTTTATTTGTATTCTTATTCACAATGGCGGTGAAGTCCGATATCGTTGATTAAAATCATCTGGTACATAAGCCCATTTGCGGACATTTGCTGGATTTATATTATTATGAAATTCAATCACTTGTGTAAGTCGGCCGCGGCGATCAACTAATTTAAAACCAGCATTAAGGGAAAAATATTTATGCAAAAACACATCATACGCTGATTTCTTAATATAAAGACGCCCGGTTTTATATTACACTCGTAACCAATTTAACAAAAAAAATTTGTGCTAACTTCAATCAATGACTTATTCTCTGCGCGAGAAAGGTTTGGATTGCGATGATATTAGGTAAGTGATGAGTCTTTTTTCTTGCATATATCCCGAAATGAAGAATTGCTCTTCTTTTACACAATAAGTCCACAATTTGAAAGAATAGAATTCTTTAAGACATACATTTAAAAATTTAGGCTATAGTTTTATAATCGTTACCGTCGAATTCTTTGTCCGAATCACTTTATTTCCGATCTGTACACGCCAAGCTATTTTAGAATGCAAATCCAGCAAGAAATATAAGCGAAAGAGAGGACATGGAATGTATAATTGTTACGTTTGTAAGAAAAGAAAGTGTTCAAAAGCGTCAAAGGGTTTTAATAGGCTCATCTCGTTAATTACATATCTTTTGTAAATTAAACATGTTTATGGGGTTTTCTTCTTAGACTATTTTAATGCGTGTCGGAAGAAAATTCAATGTTTATATTTCACGACGGACGAAGAGTGAAAGTTTGATATAAATATTGACTTTTTATTGGGATTAGTGTTATTTGGCTATGTTGTTCGCCGTTCCTGCTTCTGTTTACCTCCAGATAATATCCATTTTCGAATGCCCTGGAATTCTAATGGGACGACATTTGGCGCGTACAAAATTTCAACTATACATTGTATGTTCAATTTTGAAACGATAGACTCTTAAGGTGGTATTAGCTCCAGCTTACATTACATTTTATTATTAGATTTCGTATTAGCATCGAACCTAGAATGACTTAGAAAAAAAAATACAATAAGAATATCGGATAACGGTTGGAAAAGTCTTTAAACGATCTTTGTTATTTGAATTCGTTTTGAGATTAATCGTATGATGCGCCGTTTTACAAGACCTTGACGCTATCTTTATCTGAAACTTTAGCTTTCTTTCCGATTGTGAAAAAAATCGTTTCTTTCTAACATACTGTGCAAACTTTTTGCAATCAAATAACGTTCAAAAAACACAGTGTTAATGGCGCGGCAAAAGATATGCAGGGGAGATTAAAATGGCGCATATTTCACAAATTTCGTGAATCATTAACACATTCCCATAATATTTTCTTTAATAAAAAAATGCTTTAGCGCGGTTAAAGTTCTCGTGATCTCACGCGAATTCTTACAAAAAAAGAAAGAAAAGTAGAAATGAAACGTGTACCGCTCTATAATTAAATGCCATACTTTGACAAGTTGAAGCAAGGCAAACAAATTAAATCGAATGTCGCGATGTAACCTAAAAAAAAAACGAAATATATTTTTATGGAAGCCTATGCGGTAGAAAATGTATGATGAACCAGGCATACCATCTAACTTCGGAGACACTATGGCCTACTAAAGAGCAATGTTATGCCCGTTTAACATTCCATATAGCAAATGTTTGCTTGTATGCGTCTTCTCGGTGATGTGTATATGAATTCATATTTAATACTTTGAAATATGCCTCCAAAATAAATCAAATTTATATATAGTTTGTATATTTATCTCTTAAGCATATTTTACAAATTTTATTTGCCTTTTTGCAATAACTTTTTAAGTATTTGGCAAATATATTACAATAAATTAAAGCATCAGTGCATTATGGTTAGAAGAAATAGATAAAGTGAGGGGAAACGAAAACGAAAAAAAGGACAGGGAAAGAGAACGGTCGAGATCTTGAGTAAGACCGAGTATGTAAGAGTGTTGAGGTTGAGGGGAAAAGCAAAAACCCACATTATTTATAAACACAAATTCAAAAAACACATTCACACGTTCATACATGCATGCATACGCAACAAAGTTATGCATCAGCCTTTTAATAGCAAACTGTTTTTTGTTATTTATTTTATGACTTATAAGTTATTTTTTTCCCTATACATACATATACAAATGCACAATTTATATATATATATATATATATATCTATTAGGTTTTTATTTATAAAATATATAGGTTTGTGATGTATATATGTATGCGTATATTGTTGTTATTGTTATCTTGTCACAGTTACAGTGCAGTTAGCTGAAAAACGAATGGAAACATTTTCGTTTCTTCTACAGGAAGCTTTCACTTGCACATCTAATCACAAACATACATATGTATAGAATATGTATGAAATCAAAAAAAAAAAAAAAAAAAGTCCCAAAATTTTATTCATCGTAAAGTGTATTTACTTAGCAATTATCATTGTCACATCGTCATTATTATCATCATATAATCATTATTAAATTTAATTTTTCTGTAATGGACATCTTAGGTATATAGAATATGTCTCTTATATCTTCTTCTTACTTCCTTCCACTTTGAAGTCATAATTTCAAGTGATTTCATTATTATTTCCAATACATTATCTGTATCCGTTATTTGATTTTAAATTTGACGAACATTTTGTGTGCAACGAATAAGAAAAACTGACTGACATAAAACTGTCAATCAATTTTAATAACTAAGTGAATGAAATTTTTCAATTTATGTAAGATTTAAATTGCGACAATATGAACAATAATTATTCTCGCTCGCTTTAAGACAAATTTGGCGAAATAAAATCGGTTAAGGCCTAATTGTTAATATTTCATGATGAATATTTCTTCATGATAGTAATTTGACAGAAAAATTAAATGGACCAAATTTGAACCACATGAGTCTATTCCCATATGACTGCGCTTTATAAGTGGTAAGCCTTTCAGAAGAAGATATCTTATCATGAAAACTAGTCCATTGTAGCAAATTAACCAAAAATATTACCAATAACTCTACAAGAGTCATTCTGAAAGGCAAGCCGTTAGACGGAGAGGATATATCATTTCTAGTTTTCTATGATAATTCGAAAAATTATGCAGGGACTGAAAGTTTCTTTAAGCAAATGTTAAGTGGGAAGAAATATATTAAGGAGGTAGCGATATAGGTACTCCCCTGCGTAATGAGTTTGTGAAAAAATATTCTTTCGGTGGGAGAAGTGCATTTTATCACATAGAACTGTTGGCTCGTATATAAGGCAGTGTTTCGAAGTTGAGCTATAAAACTGTTGAAGTGGCTAAAATTTAGGAAAGGTTTCGCGGAATTGACTTATTTTTCTTTTTGGGATGTAAAACGATTTTAATACCCGTTTGTGGTCATGAAACCGGCGGAACAGTGGTAGGAAATTAAAACATTTGTAATCAGTCAAACATGTAAATCTGGAAAACAAGTAAGAACATTATAGTCAGGCAAGGCGAACCATTGAATACCTTACACCACATCGTCTATGGCAATTCTTGCTTTTGTATGAAATTACAGTTATGGGTCAATTTTCATCATCGCATATTAAAACTTCTACTTTTCTGTTCTATTAGGATAGGATTTACAAAATAGGTCGAGAGGGACCAAATTTGGCACTGTTAATTCTTTTATATTAAATTTGCTATTATGATACAATTTTCATTATGAAGCTTTGAAAATTACACCTTTTTGTCATATGCACTTCAGTTTTCGTCATATGAGAGGGAGTTGAAAAATTGCCCTACCCGGTCCAAATTTTTCAACGAAATTTAGAATAAGGAAATATTACTATTTAGCCACTTTTGCCGACAAATTAACGACTTTTCACAATAGGGTGCTGTATGGGGAGTGGGCGAAAAAGTGAACCCATCCGAGTAGTCGTTTAATAGTGTTCGTCCTTGGGCCAAAACACGCCACTATACTAAATTTCATCAAAATGTATCAGAAATTGCAATCTTTAACTTGAAGAGAAGAACTACATGGAGAGACATCAGATCAACACACAGGCATCGATCAATTCATATGATGATTTTGAATCAATTAGTATAATAGAAGATGAGTCTATCTTAAGCCCATCTTCGTAGTACATACTTCGGCACTAACTTAATAAACCCTGCACCACATGTCACAAAATACCAAATATTAGCTAAGTGTTAGTTGTCGCAGCCACCACCACCATATTTACCAGATTTAGAGCCATCCGGCTCTCAGAACTTTCCAAAAATATGTCGGTTTCAAACCTTTTTCCCTGTATAATAGCTCTAGAATAACATTTAAACAATCTTCAGAAATTCCTTCTATAATGAACTGAAAAAATCATTGGAAGCTAAATGTTTAACTTAAGAAGGAATATGCGAAATGATTTCTTAAAATAATGATGTTACCAAGTTTCTGAATGGCTTACCTAGCATATAGTTAAATAGAAGCTCCTTTGCGAAAATAACTTTTTAATGTCTCTTTGCCTCTCGTAAGATGAGTGCGCTCTACCGATATGTCTGTTGGATTTTGAAACTTAAATTTTGTAGTGCAGTAACACACAATGGGTTAAGGGTGCAAATTGAGTTTGCTCTTAGCTTTATAAATGAATGTTAAATGTAACTGAAGGACCATTAGAGGAAATAAAAGATAGTAATGGAAATTCTAGCTATGGTGTTCGTAATCTCTGGTCCGGTAATTTTGATTCAAAAGTAACGAGAACGAATATTATTCTTTTCTGAAAGATAAATTTCAGAAATTTGCATTGAAAGGGCATAACTGTTTTTTTTTTTTTTTTTTTTTTTTTTTTTTTTTTGTGCTTCATTTATTATTTTTTATCTTCGAAGGGGTCGGCGCAAAGAATCTTTCTTACTTACTCTTCGACTCGTTTCGCTTCCCTAACTAAAAAATGAAGCCGAGTGCAATTTGAACCGCAGCTATGGGGTATAAGACGATAAACAGAAATTTTTGATACATAAAGCGTAGGCCACGAAATTGATCTCTTTTCTTCCTCTCTTTCTTCGCCGTACCTTTGCAATTGCTTGACCTGCATCTTTAAGTAAAAGGGTAATACAAGGATGTACAAAACAAATGAAAAGGGGATGGAACCAAAGCAGCGCAATACTCCCAACAGTATAGTCTGTGTAATCATCTCGGTATAATGGCCTTTTATAGCTGTAGACACGGTTGACATCTAAAAGCTATTTATTACTAAGGGCTCATGTACGTTTGAACATAGAAAATCTATTTAAACGATAAAGATTGACTTGAAACAAATTATTTGTTATACTTACAACATAAGAATATATAGAACATAGATGTAACTAAACGAAAGTAAGAATGCGAGCGGTAGCGAATTTTAAATGTCAATCTTAATAACAAATAAAATTTATACTGAATGAATGCGTGCATGCTTTTCAAATAAAAACCGCATCGTATTAAATAAATTGGCAGGAGGAAAATAAAAACTAAAATAACAACAACAACAATAACAGTGAGAACTTATAAAAAGGAGAAAATTGTTTGAAAAAGTTTGTTTGTTATATACCGTTCAATGCTGAGGTAACCGTATCCGAAACAATTGCATTTGTGTTAATTTTGTTGATAATGTCGGCGGCGTTACAGCCACTGTTACCACCACCACCACCACCACCGCTAATACCAGCACTAGCAGCATGTCTATTCAAGAAATCTTGACGCTGTTCAATTATGGAATTAATTGAATGCTGTTGTAAAAGTTCAGTACCAGCCGTTCCTGTCAAAGAAGCTCTCATTATATTATTGGTATGAGTGGCTGCTATTGAAGACGATAATGGCATAGAAGTGAAATTATTCGATGAAGAATTAAACTGCAATTAGAAGAAATAAAACGTTTAATTTTTTTTTTTCATTTTTTTTTTCCATTTTTTTTGTTAGTTATAATGAGATAATTGAAATGAATTTTTAGTTAATAAGTTAAGCACGAACGAGAAGGAAGTTGTGAAGTGTGTAGGAAAAACAAAAAAAAAAAAAACGAAAAACAAAAAACAAAATTTTTGGAATATCTTCAGATGTGTGAATAATTAAAATGAAATCTCTGAGTCTCTCTCTCTCTCTCTCTCTCTCTTTTCCTCTCTGCCTCTCAGTCTCCTTTTCACTCATCCTATTCATACTATTACGTGTTGGAAGTGTTCGACTATGAACAAATAATGAACAGAACAACAAAATTGAAGAAGAAAATAAATGAATAAAATGATAAGAGAGAGCGAAAGAGAGGGAAATACAATAGCAGTTCGTGTCACCCACAATTATTACTGAATTTCACGCCTGAAACTTTACAAAACATATAAACATCAAAAATTGTTATTTGTGTGGAGTGCCATTCACATTCGAGCACTCACACAAATACACATATGCACACGCATACACATATACAAGTAGACACACACACATCCATACACGTATAGGCACTTATAAGCGGCAAAAGGCATAAGCAAAAGCGAAAGATGTTGATGAGTCGAAACACTTGCTTAAATACTCATGCATACAAGCATATGCATAAACACATCTGCATGTAGATATATATGCACGCACAAATACATTGGTACATACGTTTAATATTGCCACAGCACTCAGCAATTTACAAAGTGATAGACACACACACACACACACACACACACACACACACACACACACATGATTGTATGTATGTGTGGATAGACATATATGTATGTATATGTATATGACAAAATATGAACAAAAAAAGGAAAAATTAAAAACAAAAAAAAAAAAAATATCAAAACGGAATGACAGACAATGCAATACAATACAAAGAAGTGCACTTGAACAAAACGTTTGGCGCGCAATTAAAAGAGCATCAAGTGTCAGTTGTAGTGGCTGAGAAGTGTTCCTTGGAAAATGCCAAATTAGTACAAACATTGTTATCAAGCTGCAGCCAGCCAAACACAATTATAACACAAATGATGTACAGGCAAAACTTGCATACCAGAGCGCATACATACGTATATACATACGTATATACACGAGCGCATAAACACAAGCTTTTTTCAATGGTACAAATAAATGTGTAAGAGAGGGTGCCTGGTTTGGTAGAGTCGCAAAGGCATAAGAAAAAGTAGCAAACAGACAAGTATGAGCTCACAAATCATTACGACAGATTAACAGTAAAAAAAAAGAAAAAAAAAAGAAGAAAATATTGAGGCAACAAGTATAAAAGACCTTATGCAACTCTCCCACACAACAAGCGCACATACATTGTAATATATCCTACGTTGATATATATATATATATATATATAGATATATATGTATATATACATATAGATCTCCACCACAAAGAGATCATAATAGAAAGTATGGTTGCACACATATGCTTCAATATATAGGTGTGCAAGTTGAAACGTTTACAGCAACAACAACAACAACAATAACAACAACTTTATGCACATACATACATACATTTCTATATAAGTACATGAATCCTTGCTTACGAAAATACGGTATACAGTTGGCAGATAAACATGCACGCTTATACACTTACATGTCATGCATACATATATTATCGAGTAACCTATCGTTTGGTTATTCGGTTTTTGTATGTTTTCACGTATGTTGTCTTTGCACATTTTTTTCCTCTCATTTCATATACTCTCCCTCCTCTCACTCTCTCTCTCTCTCTCTCTCTCTCTCTCTCTCTCTCACGGTTTCTCTCTATCACTCTTTCACTTTCTCTATAATTCTATCTCTTTCTTACCCTAAATCGAGCATATTGTGGCTTTTTCAATTCAATTGAATCCTTGCGAGCATAAGCACACATGCACACACACACACACACACACACACACAAACACAAACTCACGCATGCAGATGCTTACAAGCACTCAAAAACATGTACATTCTTATAGATGATAATGATGGTATCGTGGATGACAAGTACGGTGATAGAAAATCTATTAAATGTGTTTATGTGTATGGACGTGTGTTGTCTCTATAGGTATGCGTATACATATATATTCTTGAACAAGTATGATAACATTAGAAAGAAAAAATGCAACTTGAAAAGAAAAAAAATACACAAATGTCAAATGTAACGGTTTCTTTGCTTTTTTTTTCTACTTTTTTTTTTCTACATACTTTCTGGTTTAGTTGTTCATTTTGTTTTTATTTTATTTTACTTTTTTTTTTTACTTTCTCTTACTTCGCACTCGGCATTGGAAATCCCTATCTTCATGCAGCTATAAAAGCAACAGCGACAACAACAATTCTACGAACTATGTAACACAGTTGATTATTGCTGGGATTTTCCAATGAATGACAACATGATGAAGTAATCGGAAAGCTTATGAAAATCTCGAGAACTTGCTTTTACTAAAACGTAACAAAAATGACATGAAAATGTTAAAAAGTTACGGATTATTTTAAACATTATCTCTCAAAAGAAAACGACCAACAAACCCAATAACAAACATTATCTCAACGAAAACAAAAAAAAAAAAAAAAGAAGGGATTAAACCGATTTTCAGTTAAAATTTCAACTAAAATATAAATAAAGTGAAAGTTTTTTTTTTTTTTTAAAAAAGATTTCAAAAAAGATTCATTATATTGATTAATCAAAAGTTTGCGATAAGACATGGGACGGATGAATATCATAGCATAGATAAGAGAAAATCGGAGATTGTTTCAAAGAATAGGTTAAAATGTATAGCGAATAAGATGCAATAAATAAAGCGTAGAATGTGCGGGTCATGACACAACAGAAGAAGCAAGTTATTGCGCGTATGAAAATGATCTTAAGGATTATAATAAGAGAGAGCGTGTACGTCCGTATTGAATCTGTGTAGTTTCATCAAATTTTGAATTTGTGGCTTCATTTGTCAAGAGTGCATCAACAACGCAACGCAATGCTTTTTCTACTCAAAATTGTCCGCCGATATGTTATCGCACATGCAAACCGATAACTTTGTGAGCAAAACCGAAAACCCATTATGGCTCATGTTGTTAATATTTATTGAATGGTAAAGTTGTTCTGAAACAACAACAAATTATAATTTCGACTTTTGTGTAAAATCGGTCTGCAAAAGTTTAGTATTGGCCGTACCATGTCGTCCGTGAATCGCACTACCTCCCGGTCAACATTTGTTGCAATCGCTGACTTATCTGCCTGCCTAAATAGCGCTGAACGCTTTCATTCTTACAACAATATACGAAAAGTAGATTCTTTGCGTGAAAGATCTTAGTCCACTTGACAGGGAACTTATAGGTTGTCAGAAAAATAGTAAAAGCAAAGCTAAACATTGAATAATTTTTGACTAATATATAGTTTTTTTAAACCTTAAATTTTATCTAAAAATCCTTTAATCATAGCAACACTATGGTGTTATATTTTGTGAACAGGCCTGCGTCGGGTATTAGTGTAAAGCACTTTTTGTTATTTCAATACAACTTTCTCGTTAATGCATCATATCATTTCATTTTTTTTTTAACCAAATTTATTACAAATTCTTTCTTTAACAAATTTATTCGCGTTAAAAGTTTGCCAACAACAATTTCCAATAAGTAGAAAATGCGCTTGAATTTATGATTTAACAAAGCGAACGATATGAAATTTCTGTCATTTCTGTTAACGATAGTCATATGAATCTAATAACAACAACAATATATATATATATATATATATTGTGTGTACATTAATGCCCGGAATGCTCTTATTTTTATACCCATCATCGAGGGATGAGAGACAGGTGTTCATTTTGTTAAAACGTTTGCAATGCCCCGAAGAAATCATCAAAGACTCCGCAAAGTACATATCTTCTCGATCAGCATCAAATCCTAAGTCGATTTAAGCATATCCGTCTGACCGTCTGTCCGTCTGTGTAATGTTTATTGCAAACATTGTCCCGACCGCAGAAATGAAGCAATCGACTTCAAATTTGGCAGAACAAGCGGAAGCTCTTGAAAATGGGCCCGATCGGTCGAAGGACCCGCCCACAGCACTACGTGGGCTGAGAATGCCTCTGTTTTTGGAAAGCAAGTACACATTACTGATAAACTATAGCATGTTAAAAAATTTCAACGTTTATTATGGGCGATGCTGTAGCATTTGTGCACAAAAATGGAAAAATTGACGCACATCTACCCAATATTATGCTATATCAAAATTGAATTATTTTTTCAATACCTTTATAGCGCGCAGCAACAAGTTTCAAAAACCCCATAAAACATACAAATTCATGGCCAGTTTCAAATCTTGAACGCATCTAAACATGTCTGCCTGTTCGTCTGTCCATCTGACTGTTTGCGCAACGTTGTAATATTCTTCCGTTAGCGAAAATGAAGATATCTCTTACATATTTCGGAATTGTTCTTAATATCCAATCGACGATACTCTATACATTTTTAAAATCGTATTTTTGGAAAATATAGCCCAGCCCGGTAGTTGCTGGATTTAGATTCATATTTGAAAAAAAAAACTTTTCATTTCTTGCTCTCGATGAGAAGATAGCGCCTGATAGATATTTGCTTTTGGAAAATGTTGAAATTTCTCCAGCCACTTTCGGCGGAGGGCAAATCTCGCATACCTAGCACCATTAAAATATTTAGCGTCGCATGCTTTCATTTATGATCATAAAAAAGTGAATGAGATAAAAGTTATTCTTCTGATAATCATATCGACAAAAAGATTAATTCGCGACGCTTACCATAATTAATTTAGAATTAAGAATTAGAATCCCCAAGTTCTTTTACTTGCTACCGATATCGAGCGTATTGCGATGCAAAAAATTAGTCCCCTATGCCGTGATGTCCGCGATATTTAATGGCTTTAACAATTCCGAATTTCACACTGATCAAGT